TTCTCACTTTGCAACAAGGCAAAAATACGTAAGAACTCACAATATCTTTATTAAAAGTTGAAAAATATAAAAAAATATAAAACACCAAATACAATTAAAATAATTTTAAAAATCTCATGTGTGCGCCTAGTACGGAATATTAAATTATACGCATTTTTGCTGCATTTCATTTAAACTTATTTCATCTAATTCTATTACAGATTACTCGTTTTTGCGTTAGAAATATATACATACATACCTACCCACAGACGTCAGGAAAAAATCTCTTTTGAATCCATTTTAAATCCTTCTTGCAATCCATTTTGGAAAAAAGAGTCCTTTATTCTGTCCTTACGTACAAAGCAAAAACATGGTGAAATTGCATTCGATAGGGATCAAAACGTATATTTTCGTAAAAATATGATATCCGGAATTTTTCGCGATTACAATATATCTTTTACTTAGTACAAAGACGTAAATCGCTCTGAAAGTCATAATTTTTCGATATCTAAAACTACGATATCTACATATTGTCAACAAGAAAGGGAAAAAAAAGTCAAAGTTTGGCTTTGCGTGGAAACATTGTTCCAAATACCTATCCAAAGAAAAAAAATGAATATTTTGATTGTTGCAAAAGTAAGACATTTAATATTAAAAGAAAATTCACCAAGGACAGTTTCATAATCATTAAAATATTCAGTCTCAACTGTAAACAAAGTGATTAATACTGATTTGAATTTTACAAACGCGAAAACGTATAATATGCATCGTCTTCTCCACGGTTCCTCGAATTTCATTAGAATTCTCCACGCCTTATTTCCTCGAATTTCATTAGAGATACAGTTCCCATTCAACTAATTCAGTTCTCACTTCGCGACAAGACAAAAATAGGTAAAAATTCAAAATAGCTTTATCAAAAATTGAAAAATATAGAAACATATAAATACAGTTAAAACAGTTAAAAAAAACATTTTTTTAGATTAAAATTAGACTTTCTACGCAAAAATAAATAATTCGGCCAGCGTGCAAGTAAGCAGATTTTTCGGTGCACAAAATTGAAAGTTTAATTCTGGCTCCATTCGGTAAAAAGACACTGAAGGTGCAGAAGCTGACTTAATCCACTATTCTGCTAAGTTTCAAATGTAAACAAATATGGTAGCTATGGTAAAAAAAAATTAGGCTTAGCCGAATTTTTTAGGCTTAGCCGAACTGAAACAACTTTTAAATTGTTGATAATTCAACAACTATTGCATGCAATTAAGTAAAGGCATAAAAACTGGAAGATAAGAACAACATAATCATTTTTAAAGCAAAAAATGCACAATTCACCAACATATAATAATTAAAGAAAATGAGCTCACTGAGCCGAGTAGCAGAGTGGCTATATATATGCAATATTTTGGCAGGCAGGCACAGAAATGACAAAGCTTGACAATATAACTACATCATAGTACGGGCGTTGTATGGCCAAGTAGAAGGCTGAAAAATGACGACAAAGGATTAAGCTTTTTAAATTCCACATCTTCATTCAATTCTCACAGCAGCTCATTTTGCCTTTAAATGAAATTCTCTAAGTTGCATATTCAATAGTGATTTAAACTAAGTAAGATTAAATTTAGACGTTCTACGTCATAACTTTTCAGGGGTCATAACTTTTCTACGTCATAACAAAGGGAAGAAAAAGATGGGAAGAGCAGCAGCAATGTCTTATAGCAGCGGTAGAAGGAAAACAGTCTGACGAAAAATAGTGTGTACTCTGTATTTATACCAGCCGTTATATAACATGCCAGAATGTTCTTAAAAGTACTGGTCTAGGGGGGAAGATCCTGAAATTGCGGAAAGTTAATTATAGGTTGACTGTTCGTGCGAAGCAAAGCCATCGTATTTTTTATATTTTACATATATATGCTTTTGTTAATGTCGATTGCAACCGAAAAGGAAGGTACGCAGTTACATGTTACAGCAGTCCTATATACAAAATTTCAAAGTTCTGAGGCTACTCGTTTTTTAATTATGCGAGATACATATATATATACATACGTACGTACGTGCAGACGCCACAAAAAAAAAAAATCTCTTCTGCATCCATTTTATATCAGTTCTATAGTCCGTTTGGGAAAAACGAGTCCTCTATTCTTCTGTCCTTACTTACAGATGTCACGCAAAAACATCGTTAAATTGCATTCGGTAGCTGCCAAAATGGATATTTTCGTTCAGACATGATACCCAAAAATTTTCGCGACTGCAGTACTTTACTTCGTAGAAGGAAGTAAAATTGAACAGCCATTTATTAGCCATTACCTTTATATGTCGTAAATTCTTAAAGATATGATTAACCAGAAAAGGAAACAATTGATGATTTACAAGTGTTTAAATAGATTATAATAACAGTGTAAGATACCAAGTAGAGGGCATAATGAAAATAAAAATTCTACAGCTGGCCCAACCGGGATAGTGATTAGCGACGCTGACTGCCACACCGAAATACCCGGATTCGAATTTCGGAGAAGACGTGGATGTTTGTAAATGCATAGTACCTATGCGGCATGGAGCCACCCTAAATACGCGGCAAGTCAAAAGTCCTCTCGAGAGGCTGTTGGTAAGGGAAGAGGAATGGTAGACCCTCGGACCCGTCCTTCCCCGGAGTGCTCTCTTTCAAAACTGGGGGCCGACTTGCCAATGACTGGCGCAATCTTACACTCCTTGCCGCGAAAAATTTCATGGGCTTGTTATGATGTTACTTGCAGACAAGTGAGATAAGTCACAACGACAACAACACAAATTCTAGAAATTGCGGCAATTTATAGACCTTTCGAATTAAACTTTAAATTCATTATTTTGAAATACACTCGATGAGATAACTTATAATTCTGGATAATAGTTAAAGGAGAATTAGTATTGAAAGTTAATAATTATGACATTACTAACAAGTACTAGCAACATTATATAGCTGTGTTTAATACATGTACTAATTACAAATAAAACAGTTCATTTAGTAAATTTTGTATCAGATCATTGAGGGTATTGCATTAATCATTATAGCATTAACATTCTTTATTGAGGGAAATATATGAGGCAGGATACAAAACAATCTTTTGAATAGTGATGAAGAGTTAGTGAATTGTCATTAATCGACTCTCCAAAAGCACTAATATAAGCTTAGCTTTTATCGTTAGTACGCGCAAGAATGCTTATAACTACGTGATGTAATAAATACTCGTACTTTGCTATATTACTACATTAAATTACGATATGATGTAAGATAAATGAATAAAATATTTGCCATTGAATTCATGACTGAGCGGAAAAACTGCAATTATTGCTCTAATATTCCTAAGTGGTCAGTTTAAAATTCTTATATTTCTTGACAGCAAAATGGTTTCATGAATCATCCTAACTTCATGATGTTTACATGAGAGCACATGCATGCCTCTTCATTAATTTCCTTGCAATTATCTAATACACTCATATTGTCATGATCTGTAATACTTAATCCACACAGAGTATTGAATAAAAAAACTAGTGGATTGTTGGACTTAATTTATCACCAGCTAGAGCAGGAGAAATTACTAACAGCAGAGTATGCTATAGACTCCTTAAAAGTACTTCAATATTCTTCTATTCGTAGTAAAAATTCGTTGTAAATTTATTGATTTCATATCAATAAACAGGAGTTGGTTATTAGAAAATCGAAGACACTCTATAGTACGGAGTATAAAAATTCAGAAAAAAGGTAGAAAATAATTAATTTTTTTAGAATGCTTATGTTATTTTTTAAAGTAAGTTAGCTGTAAGTAACTAAAAAGCTCAGTTTAATTTTTTTATTAAATTTAATCTATGTTTTAAAATGTTTTTGCTTATGGCTAATATTAGTTACTTTAATTTTATGCATTTCGCTTATTTTTGTTTTTATTAGTTCCTTTTTTTAAGAATTTGCATGTTATTTTATTAAAAAAAAAACATATTTTACTTTAAAATGTGGGGAAAACACTAAAGGTATTTTCTCCCTCCTTTCTGCATTCCTTCGTGGTGTAACGACAGCACATTCGGCGCGTATTCGAGAGGTCTGGGTTCGAGTCCCGGCGAGGGCATTGCTCATTTTTCACATCTCCCTCATAAAAAAGAAATTATAATGAATCTGCAACAACACCTAAGTAACTTTTATTTTTTTTCCAACGGCGGGCACTTGCCTATGCCGGGATCGGCCCCTGCTAAGGCCAGATGTGGTTCTCTCTTTATTATGGAGGCACCTAATAGGTGGGGCACCTTTGCTTCATATGATTAAACAGACAATTTTACATCCATGCCTTCTCCAGGATTCGAACCCGGGCCCTTCAGTATCGCAGTCAGGCTTCCCTAACCACTATATCATCTGGGCGGCTCTATCTAAGTAACTTTACGGTAAAAGAAATGAAAGACATGTTTTTACAAGAATGAGGAATATAAATCCTTTTTCTTCAAGGCTTTATCGACGACAGCGCTGAGATAGATGCGACAAAGGCCATTGCATAACATTTGCTGTAACTGCTAAGTCTTTTATTCCAGAACTAAAATGCTTTACCGGTCTGAATATTTTCCCAGTATATGGTGAGGTATTCATCTCTGTCGGACCTGTTCTGTTCATGGAAGAAGCCGAGAGCATGACCAAGTTCGTGTACAATAGTGCCTTTGAACATGCATCCCTGTCCCAGCGAAACAGGTTGTTGTCCGCCAATCATACCAACATTTGAATAGCACCTAGAACAAAATATTTAATACTAAATTACTTCCTATGAAGAACAAGAAACCGATACTAAATACACTATTTGTAAAATTTTAGAGACCTGCAAACACCTAGCGATCCAAGAAGGCACTTACAGCTCTTTTCATGTGTACGTGTGGTTCACAAACCAGAGAAAAGATTATGAAGCAAAATATCAAGCGTAGGTATTAGGTGCGTATAAAATAAAGAAAGAAAGGGAAAACATTGAAACTTACTTTTTCAGTGCGTAAGTGCGTAAGAATAGTGGTAGCTTTCTAATTTCTCCACCTCTCATTTGGCGTCTCATTTAGGACACACATTTCACACTCAGAAATTCATCTTTGATTTTTTTTTTCTATTTCTATATTTATTGATGAACTGCTTAGTACAACATTAGATTTTCATTTTAAGGTGATACATAGGAATGAAATTTAACATTTGCTTCTTTAATAAATATGACAAAAATGTGTAAACAAAAAAATTTAAAATTTCATAATAATAGAGATAAAAATTTTTTAAATGTATTACGGAGTTTACCAATAAATACAGAAATAGAAGTTATCAAAGATGAACGCCGCAGAGATGGAGAAATTAGGAAACTTCAATTATATCGATAGAACTATTACACATTCGTGTAATTCTGCCGGCTCCTTGATAAATAAGCCCTAAGGCGCATGATAATAAATAATTCTTGACGTGGTAATCTCACTAAGTAGAAAACGGAACTAGAAGGAAGGAAGGAAAAGAAGTCTGAGAGATGAATGGACTAGTATCTGATTGGACTGCAAGGATGGGAAAAGGCAAAGTGAAAAATCTTGTAACACGGGTGAAAATAACAATTCATATTACAATATTAAGAAACTAAAAATAAACAAGTACTAATAAAAAATAGGAGAATAAAGAAAATATGAAATACAATTCAAAGCATAAAGATTATACAACAATTCAACCTGTGTGAAAGCTGTTTCGGTGGTGAAATTATGATCACTATCAATGATACGGTGAGCCGCCAGGGGTCTGGTAAATCTATTTTCCTGTAAGATTTCATAATTAAAGATCTACGAGTAGTTAACATAGTCACTGCAGATAGCTTTATTGAAGAAACGGTCATTGGTTCTTCGAAGATAAGTTTTAAGACTTCCAATTTTGAGATCTTTATGGAGGAGAGTATTTCTAACTATGTAATGTACATTAGTGATAACTAAATTTATTCTGAATTTTAATTTATTTAAAAAAATATTTTGACTAGAAATTAATTTTAAATAGTTTTTAACTAATGAATTTGGCGATCTGTAGCAGTATTCCCGACAGGAGCCGCATAACAGATGATTTAATACACCTTAGAGAATAGGCCTAATGCAGGCAGTGTAAATATGCTTCTTGGTCTTGAGACTCAATTTAGAGTATTTGCCAACCGATAGGAAGACAGCTATTTACGATGCCAATAGCATTGCTACGAATATTGTTGATGTGATCATGCCATATAAGATTTTGATTAATAAAAATTCTCAGATACTTTTCTTTGGTCACAATGGGAACTGTGTTTTTAGTCATTAAATAAGATTAAACTTCTATAATTGTTGTATCCCTTTTTGTTCTTTATCTTGCTAACTGTATTTTATATGCTATTGCAGCGCCACCTACTGAAAATTGCGATAAAAATATCTCTGTATTTCCTTATTCAAAGAAATGCAATTATCTTAGAGTTATTCCAGTCCTAAATTTTGATAATTTTTAAATTTTTTGATAATTCATCGATTAATTTTTAAAAAATTTACCCTTGTCCAGCAAAAATCCTAATGTAATTGGCCTCCAATGTTCTTGGAACGAATTTCACGCATGTTTTTTTGTGGTAGTCGTCCATAGCTTGTGAGATAACACCTGTGTAACGAACTGAAAAAGACAAATATATATAAATTTGAACCGGAATTATAAATATGTTTTCTTAAATACTCACTCTGTATAAGATTTACGTGAACCACTAATAAAAATTCCTGTTGTTGGAAAATACTTGCTACTACATGCTAATACTCTAAGAAGTGCTAACACACTTTAGAAAATCGAGAAAACTGTTATTTCCAGTCTTTTCGAGAGATTTCGAGAGATTTTCGAAAACAGATATTATTGTTCTGTATTATTTTAAAAGAAATTAAGTAAAGGAGAATGTGCATGTTTCTCGCACTGTGAAAACACGACCGTATACCTAGAGCTATCAAATTTTGAATAACGTAATCCTCCATCCGAAGGCGAGCACATGAAGGCTCGAATTTTGAATTTGTTTTATTATTTATTTCACATTTTGTAAACCCTTGACGAATGTTTGATTAACAAACTCAACGATTTCAAAGCAAGCAATGGCAACACTGTACAGAAAAAAATAAGTTTATCTCCAGTCCGCGAGTCCGTCTATCGGAAATTCTAAAGATATGCGATTCTGAGTATTTTCTCATATTGCTATTGAATTGAATTTTATGTGGTTTAAGTGCAAAGAATATGATATCTCATAAATAAAGGTAACGCATATATATAATAAAATCTGAAAGCTTTCAGATTTTGGCTAATCTTTGGAATATGGTAAGGGTTTGGGCGACATTTTGGTAAGGCGATAAAGGTTACTAGCTAGGACTTTAGCAGTGTACATGGATAAAGTCAAGTGTGTGCGCAATGCTATTTTTGTGCAATTCTGGGCTGTTTTTTTAAGTGAAAATAGGTCGACATGTACATGGATACAGTGTATGTGCAATTCTTAAAAACGCGGCAAGAAGTGGGCGATTCTACTCTTTCTCCCAATTTCGTACCTAATCTTCGTCATGATTAAGCACTTTTGTTCCATAAAAGTTCTAGCATAAGCAGAATTCGGCTAGCAGATTGTTGGGAAAAAATGTTGAGGGGGGGAACATGCCTTTACTTCGTGAAAACAAAAAGGCGTCCAAACAAAAAACTAGCAGGTTGTTGTAGCAGGGTTGGTCGCCAAATTTTCGCCAAAAAATTTTTAAGTTACCATAATCCGAAGATTAACCCAGACTTTTTTTTTTTAATTTTTCCTTTTTATTTATTTTATTTATTTATTTTGAGGGAAGGCCAAAAATATATAAAGGAATAATCAATATAATGATGTTTCATGTATTTACTTATTGCTTCCATTTTACTATTAAAAGATAAATGTTTTGTCTACATATTGGAAGAAAATATTATTATTTATTAAAAGTATTCGTTGAATACTACTTACTTAGAGAAGGATCAATGACGTATGGAACTTTCTTGTTAGTCCATCTCAAATGTGGATGAGGAATGACGTTACGGTCCTGTTTAAGAGAAAAACTGGTGAAATATTTTGATATTTCGCTCCCTATTTAGCTCATTACATTTTTTTTATTTCTAGGTGTTGCGGTAGCGATCATTCATTCCAAAAATATGAAAATTCTGGATAAGATAAAAGGAACTAAGGAAGAATATAACTGGCTAGATTTAAATCGAGCAAAAGTGTAACCTTGTCAAATGACTCGTGATGACTCTTCCTTATTTTCTGAAACTTGCAACCTGATTTAAATTTCCTTGCTTTGACAGGTTAACAGCCACTCAGAAGTACGTTGGAACATTATTCAAGTTCCTGTTTCTCCGGTAGATATTAGTTGGAAAACTCAGGAGTCTTCTTCCACGGTTGAAACTTGATAAGTCAAGTAATCTAAATAATTATTTCTTTTATTTCTGAGTTTTACCTGTTTACCTCCTTTTAATAATAAATTATTTTATTGAAGATTTTTATCTTTTTTAATATTTTTTGTGCGTGTTATTTGAAAATTATATATTTGGAAGAAAAGGCAAAAACTTTTTGCATGCATTAATATAATTAAATTTAAGAATACCAATTTACAAGGAAATATCGCATTCCATTGATAGGCGTGGTTCGAATCCCAGCTTATACATAGTTACTATCTTACGTTTCTAGCTTCGAAAGATTCTAAATATCTCTACAGTGGTGCTTACACTAAAATGTAGGAGACAAAACTTCGTTTCCGTTTGGATCTGATCGATTGGGTTTTGAGCCTGTCTTCGGTAACTGCTTAAGTGTAGAGGAATTAAAGAGATTACTGAATTTCACCGTGTATGCCCTGTAGTGAAAGCAGTTAATACTTCTAAATAGCAATTGGAAGATCCGTGTTTCGAATACGGATATGATCATAGCTGATTGCTCATATACTTGCTCCGAAATATCTAACAATCTGTATGATATTTATGATCCAATATAACTGATAAATTATTAATAATTGATTTCGTAGAAGTTTCACAGCTTATAAACTATTTCGATATAAACATATAAAGAAATTCTTCATGCATATCAGGAATCTTTCATCAATCCATTAATTTTTTTCAATTAAGTCACTTAATTCGATATTCTGAGAATTAATCTTTGGAAATGGAACAGTATTTGCAACATATATTAAAACAGCCTTTATTTTTGTGAACGTAAAAGGTAAAAGATTAAAATTTAAATAAAAAATTTAATATTTAAATAAGCGTATTTAATTAAATAATATTAAATCAGGGCAGATACACACATTGACGGAAGGTAATATTTGGATGGATGAATGATCCTTCCATGCATGCAGGAGTTCTACAATTTTATGCAGAGTTAGTTAAATCATGATTAAATATCAGTATTTCTAAAAGAATTATTAAATAAGTAGTAAATCGTAAGTAGTCATTGCAGTACATTCTTCACCCGATGGAATTTTCTAAATGTATTGTTGCGTGCGTAGGATTCGTAATGCACAGAACCGATGATAGCTTCATAAAATTTATTTTTATTCACAGAAACACTTCACTATTCTGGAACTTTCCACAGCAGTATTGGTACACCTCTTCATAGTATCACAGAGCACAATCATTAGTTACACTTTAAACTACTAAGAACGTTAACGACAACTAAATGCAAAGCTCATCTAAAAGGCGAAGCTCTCCAAAAGTCGGTTGTGAGCCAACAACTAACAACTACACCTACGAAACTGATGCTCCCTCCAAATCTTATACAGTTTTCATCTGGTCGCCGAGAAATCTCTAGTACTTTCTGGAAGCAGATGTAACCGTATCTGGCCCTCATTATGGAAGAATTTCCTATGAGGGCCGGATACGGTTACAGCTAATAATAGGAATCAGTTACAGTTATTCAGTTACAATATCCATTACAGTTATGCGCATAGATCGGATTCAAATGTCATCAAATTTGGCGACAAACTTTAGTCGTCAGAACGATCGCCGACTTGGCAATATTTCGCCAAATTAGCAAGATAGCCATTTACTCAATGTTAAATAAACTTGCTTCTGCATTCTTTTTTTTTTTCCGGCAGAGCGTTATTTCTCTCAAGGTGTTCATGTTACATTACACAGAAAAAAACAACAGTTTCACAGATAATTTCACTAAAATTATCTATTTATGTACAAAATTTGTAACAGAATCATTCTTTAATCAAGTACATGCTTTATATGTGCTAAAGAAAAGAGCTGCATGAAGATTAACTTACCGAGACATCAACTCCCAACATATCTCCACCGAATAAATCGGGATTCTGCATAGGAAGATCTCCAAGGTTAACTAAAGAAGAAATATGCGGGATTACCAATATGTAAATAATGGCGAAGGAGAAATCAGTAAGAAGGTTACGTTGTAAAAAATATCGAAAAAGATAAAAATGAAAAATGACTGCTTTTTCCTTTATTTTAATTTAATTGCTAAGAGATTACTTGCTAACTGTAACAAGATGAATGGTGGCACTAAAAAGCAATGGCATTAAACACAAAACCTGAATATATTTATATTTTGTAACAGAATAGAGACATACACAAAATTCAGATTTATTCAAAACGATGGACATGATTCTATATGAAAATATTCAATATACATGGCAAAGAAGTGATGAAAAAGAATGACACATGCATCTGATATCAATGTATTTATTGCACTGTGATTTACATAGCTAAAAAGAAGAGATCAAATTATAATTTATTCTCCAGAAAGGCTGGAATGGGGATGTCACCGCTTTCGGGTTTGCCTGACCAAATTATGGAGATGATAGGATTAGATCGCCCTAGTGATGCTTTTGAATGTGTGAAATAAGATGGAGTATCACCGTAGAGATATAGCTCAAGCTATACAGTGAGCTCACAAAGAAGTGGACTAAGACATTATTAAGTATTTTCCCCCAATTATGGAAGCCTCAGTACAATAAACACGTTAATTTTCAATGTATGTGTGGTTGTTCGTTTTCATCACGCCTTTCTCGGACACCCTGTCAACCATGTCAGGAAAAGTCCTTATGTGGCTTTAATTTTCGCGATCTCAGACATAAACGTCCAGTTGCAAAAATGATTTAAATGACACAAATAATTGCGTTTTGGAATTTTTTAATTTAAACGTTGGTTTTGTAAAAATTAGGAAATTTAACTTTTACGGTCTACCAGGCCTTGTAGTTATATTTACAAGTTATCACTCATTCCAGAAAATTTGATGTGGACACCATATGACTTCCTGATACGGCTTTATTAAATTATACACATTTTTGCTGCAACAATAAACCGATATTAAATATTGTTAGAGATTTGCAACTATAACCTGACATTGAATATAGTTATATATTGATTGTTAGACTAATTACATACATAAATTGTTATTGCTTGTGTAGTTAGAGGCATTGCCAAACCATCAATACTTTCATCTTTAAACATTTTATACTTCATGTAATTGAAAGTGTATGACTACAACTAACGACTGCGAAAATGAAAGCCGGGTAAGTACTTTTAAGCAGGGGCTATCTATCTATATATCTATCGATCTATCTATCTGTCTGTCTATCTATCTGTCTGTCTATCTAACTTTATATATATCTATATATACATATATATGCATTATATGTAAGTACAACCTTTATGTATATATGTAAGATATAACAAAATATGATAGCTGTTTCAAAAAAATAATTGACGACCTCAAAATTAACATTCTAAATTTGGCAATCTGCCCCTAAATTCGTCCCTTCTCGCAGGTTCCAGACTTTCTATCTTATGTAACGTTTTAATGCAGATGCCTCTCGTCCAATCAAATTACATCTAAACCAAAACTGTGAACTGAAACTTCAGCCTTCTTGCTATGAAAGTACTATAACCTTTCCCTTTTTCCCCGCATAGCTTTCCTGTTGGCAAGATGCATTTTATGTATGCTGCAGCTTACTTTCTTAAAACGGCGTCGTACTTCAAAATGCAACTTACTGTATTCAAATATAATTAGGAAGTATCTTATCTGAAAAAGGATGATTTGATATGCATGGAAAAAATAAAGATTGTGATTTTTCAAGATATGTTGTGCTAAATTGCGTCATCATGCTTTCCACTCTGCCACCTTCAAACCACAGTTTTATTACAATAATATGGCGCAGCCAATTTTCGACCCTACAGGCGTGGAACTTCAGTGCAGTTTATTTCAACTTATCTCACATCGTTTAACGAATGGATAAAATAAAAACGATAACTATTCATCTGAATTCCTTCAAGCCACTACGGTCTTCTCGGTCATCTACGCAGTATCGTAAGCTGTTGGGAGGTCCACTGCTTTCATCTACGCACTTGAAATCATTACATATATATATACATAAAGGTTGTAGTTACATACTTCCAATTATACGACGTTTAAAATTTTTAAAATATTGTAAATGGCGAAAGTATTCATGTTTTGGCAATGTCTCTAACTACGCATGCAATATATATGGGTAATGGTAGACAGAATGGCCATTATCCATATATAATGGCCCCCCACATACACACACATATATATACACATACCAGAGCCCATTAGGTACTGCCGATTTCAATAAATAACAAGAAGATGCACAACTAAATATTATAGCAATCCCATATACAAAAGTTGAATGTCTAACGGTTTCCAAGATCCAGAGGAAGCAGGGAGCGGGGAATACCCAACGGATAGCGGTGGATAGGTTTTTGTTAAATTTTACTTCGAGCAGCAAGATTTAGTTTCCATAAAACGTTTTTAGTTAAGTTTTACATCTGTATGTGCTCTTTGAGTTTTAGATTTCTAGCTAAGTGAGAAAACGAGTATTCGTCGGAGACACAAGAACTTTAAAAAGTGGAGTTGAATAGTTAATTAAGTTTATTTTTACAGGCTAAGAAAAGTTATTTTTCCAAATTAAAATATGAATACAACGCTTGGCAAAATATTACTATTTTTTTTGCACTGTCAGTGAGTGTGAAAGAAGTATTTTTTTCGTAAACCTAATTAAAATAAGATGTTTCCCAAAAATACTTCATCAATTTAGTTTTAGAAGTAGCTGTAGTAACTAACTGTAGTTAGTAACTCTAGTAAGTAAGTTGCAAACTAAATCAAGAATTCAATACCGAACATAGATTTTTTAGCGAAGAATATTTTATTGCGGATCTGTTTATTCTTATTAATTTGCTAATTCAATCTGTATTTAGTTCTTAACATCCAGTAACAGTTCTTTACATACAGTGCGGTCAGTTTCGGATTAGCGGAACGGATTGCGGATTAACAGCAGCCTGTCTGATAAGGATTAAATTCATTCATTGAAGGGAAATGGAAAAATTAGTATTACAAACCAACAGCGTAACACGAACTATCTTCGGAAAGTACAAAAGGAAGAAGAAAAGATATAAGATAACAGCAGTGATAGTAAAACTGTCTCTCAGAAAAAATTTGCCGCAAAGCAAAACGTTTTAACATTTTACATGAATTTATACTCAAGAGAACCATTCAAGTTTCTCTTGTAAATTGTTCTTAAATGCTTTTTGTAACTTCTTTCCATTACGTTTATTCTTCAGTTATTTACAATACATTATTTTTGTTTTGATTTTATTTACATGATAAATTTTTCTCGATATTAAACTGTTTGAAACTGCAGGTAAATTGTTGATAATAGTTTTCTGTTAATTTTCATATGGTTTATTCCTTGTTCCTGTGTTTTTAACCTACTTCTGGTTACCGCTATTTTGAGTTACCGTACCCGTCGTGCCCAGTTAATCGTAAATTGATTGTATGAGTTTTAACACAAGTCTGGACATTGAAAAAGGCAGATTACAATTTTATATTTTTGTATAATCTATCTGATATATTTATATTATTCCTTGGATATGAAAATCTTAACACATTTCCCTACCTAATTCTATGCTGACGTATCAAATACTGTAATTCATGTGGAAATACCTTTTCACTTATTTACAATTAAAAATATTTTCTTATCTGTTCTGAGAGAATGAAAAATTAAAGTCCTTATATTAATACAGTGTCTCACAAAAGTGATGGGACACTTGTGCTTTACAAAAGGAAACTGTTGTAAAATAAATAAAAAAAAACGTGTAAAAATATTTTGTGGGTGTGTTTCATACTTAAATTTAGTAACAATTATTACATAATATACATTTTCTCAAAATATTAAAATAATAATTTAATAAAAATACAATTTTTAGAACGGAGCAAAAAATGGCTCACATAAGTGATGGGACACTTACTTTTTTCCATCAAATGTTTATCCAAAAATTTTACTTTTTAAAAGGTTTTAATATTTTGTTGGATATCCTTTTACTTTTTAAAACATGATTTAATCTTCTTGGGATGGTTTCGACTAATTTTTTTATGATTTTCTGGAGTGATTTTTACCCCATTTTCTGAAGCACCGATTTGAATTGTTGAATTTTTTGAAGAAAATGGTGTGATTTTGCGAATTCTTGATTCCAATTATTGTTGGGATTTAAGTCTGGAATAGATAGTTAACGTTCAAAGCAGTGTGCTTGGGGTCATTGTCCTGGTGAATTTAAAAATCGTTATGAAGGTTCAAGTTTCGTGTGCTGAAAATTTCAAATTTTGATTTAAAATGTCAATATACTTGTACTGATCCATTATACTGTCAATAAAAACAATATTACCAACTCCAGCGGACGACATACACCCCCCATACCACAACTCCTCCTCCACCATGTTTTTACTTGGAACCAGTCCTGTTTGCGAAATTCTTCCCTGGGTTTTCTCCACACCAATTCTACTTTTTTTTTTTTTTTTTTTTTTTTTTTTTTTTTTTTTTTTTTTTTTTTTTTTTTTTTTTTTTTTGTTTTTTTACCCACACCAAGATATATTAAATTTATCCTCATCAGCAAATATAACTTCATTACAGTAATCAGAATTCTTATTTGTGTTGGATTTTGCGAAAGCCAGTTTGAGTTTTCTATTCTTTTCACTTACCAAGAATTTTTTCCTGCCTGCTCTACCGTGATATCCAGCAAATCGAATTACTCTTCTAATAGTCTCAGGATTAACAATTACTCCATATAATGCTTGTAAATCAGCAGCAACTTTAGGAGCACTCATTCTTGGATTTTTTTTTTTAATATCTCGAACGATAATTCGCTTTATTCCATTGGATAGCTTTGATGGTCGGCCAGATCTTCTTTGATCCAGTTTGAGTTTTCTATTCTTTTCACTTACCAAGAATTTTTTCCTGCCTGCTCTACCGTGATATCCAGCAAATCGAATTACTCTTCTAATAGTCTCAGGATTAATAATTACTCCATATAATGCTTGTAAATCAGCAGCAACTTTAGGAGCACTCATTCTTGGATTTTTTTTTTAATATCTCGAACGATAATTCGCTTTATTCCATTGGATAGCTTTGATGGTCGGCCAGATCTTCTTTGATCCTGAATCATATGATTCTTTTTATATCGTTTAATGATATTGAAAACTGTTGAAGGACTCAAGTTAACTGTTTTAGCTGTTTCTCTAATAGATTTTCCACGTTCAATATGCAAATTAATAACTAATTTTCGAATTTCATGCAAAGTTTCTTTTCGTTTAGCATTCATGGCTGCACAGAGCTAAAAAACACAAATATTCCAAAACAAACTGGAGCGAAATAATGCAGACGATTTTATAAATTATTGCCAATAGCTTTTGAGTAAAAATAAAAACCCAAAAAATTATTTTTATTGTAGTACGTAGTAGTATCTAATGGTGTCCAATCACTTATGTGAGCCATTTTTTGCTCCGTTTTAAACAATTGTATTTTTATTAAATTAATATTTTAATATTATGAGAAAATGTATGTTATGTAATAATTGTTACTAAATTTAAGTATGAAACACACCCACAAAAAATGTTTACATGTTCTTTTAATTTATTTTATTACAGTTTCCTTTTGTAAAGCACGAGTGTCCCATCACTTTTGTGAGACACTGTACTATTTTCTTCCTTTCATTTTCGTAAATTAAAACCATAATTCTATATAAATTAATAAGTTCCTATCATTCACTTAACTAATATTAAAACAGAATTGTTATTCCTGTGAAGATGGGTAAAATTCGTTTTATTTAGCTACTCTAAATAGTTTCTTTGAAATCTTACTGAACACTACAGAAGCCCTAAGTTCTTACAGAATTTTAGATGAGAAATCTTAAATACTTGATTTTCTTTTAGATTTGTTTTGATTGCTTTAATTTTACATTTTGAAGGCATTAATACGATAATGCATTCTAATGTATCTGATAAAGAAATGATAATAAGATTAATAAGAATCGTTGCTAAGATTCTCTCATTATTCTGATTTATCGTAGTAGTATGCACACTATAGAACAAATTTCCTTATACTACAATGCGTTTGTAGTCCGCAGGATTGCCCTTTTCGTACATCTCAGTTCTTACAATTAAAGAATTTTATAACCCAGCATCTAATTCTTTATACAAGAGAAATTATTACAGCAATTTAAGTGCATATACAATTATATAATTAAAGTTCTAATTTTAGAATATATTTTTAAGGCCTTGAATTGTCTGATAACTATCAGACCTAAATGTAATATATAATAATTTATTACTGGTACCCTTCCACTCTCTGTGAAGTAGAATACTATATGGTCAGCTTCATAATAGTTAATTTTAGAATCGTATAGTCATATAATACTAAGCAAGCATATTCTTTCTAAAACTCTAAACATTAAATATACCCTACCTTGAAGATCAATTGGAGTTGCAGAAGCAAAGACTGCAAAACCCAGGATGATAATTAAGCGCATCATGTTTGAAACTCGTTTCTCTGAGACTTGTCTGTGCTGGAAAACAGGATTCGTCCATGATTGCAACAAGCTTATATTCGCGATTTTATCAGCGTCAGAATGACTTGGGAAAGGTCTCATCTGTGAGCACTTATAGGCCCTGATAACTTTCGTATGTTCCGCTTTTTCATTTTTACTGAACTCCCGGAAGTGATGTTTTGAAATTAATAGTATCTATAATATCTAGAGACAGAATGAATCCCTATTATTGCACTAACTTCTAAAATGTTTAAGGTTTAGTAATTAAACTGATTTTTCATTTCAACTCCCTTTTGTACATAAAAAGTAAAGAATTTCCTTTGGCTGAGGTGAAAAATACTTAACAAGCTTTTCGGTTCGGGAATGTACGCAGGCATGCGTACTGCTTTTTCAGTACTGCCTACCTAAGGGATAACTGGAAATTCAGATACCACAAAAAATAAAAGCAGTATGAATTACAACTTCATATAAAGAAGGAAAAAGAAAGTGTGTAGGTGAAAATGAGAAATTAAGAAGTAAAATATTTAACAATTTAATTACATAACGTATGTATTTATTAACATAAATAGGAATCTTAAAATTTGCTATTACCGTATTAACGTGCCTGAATATTTTAATTATGAGTGATTTGAATTTACGTAAAATTAAATATTTTAATCAAAATTTAACGACTAATAGATTACTTTACATTAGGTATTTTTGGAAGCAATAGAGATGAAAAATTAGCAACGCCTTCGCCGGGAATACGCACCTAGCGTGCAGACCATCACACCACGAAGGCATGCCAAGAAGGCAGGAGAAATGCCTTATATATTTCCCCTTTCAAAGTGTGACTGGAGTTTTTAGGGGACCCAGTCGCTAAATCTTGGTTGTGGAGATTCATCATCCACCACACTTTTTAGTTCAGGCGCCCCTGTAGACTTTAGGATTATTTTGGAAGCAGCAGACTTGAAAAATTAGCAACGCCTTCGCCGGGAATCGAAACACGGACCTCTGGAATACACGCCCAGCATGCAGACCACCACACTACGAAGACATGATAAGAGGTCAGGAGAAATATCTTATAACTTTCTTAAATGTCGTGTTCAATAAAATTTCTGTTTGTCAATTTTAAGCCTACTTTGTAGAGTTTTGGTTCACAACTTGAGCTTAAATTACTGAAACGTAGCTTAGAAGTGGTAGTATCTGCTCAAAGCATATAAAGAAGATTAATTTCTGACTCTAGATGCAAAAAAATATCATCAGCTTTATTGATTTTTACATGCGTCACATTTTAGTGACACGTAAAAGAGAGTATATTTGTACTGACGTGTAAAGATTTTGTAAAATTGTCAGTTTGATCTACATCAATTGAATAATATGTTAATTTGTTATATATATCAACTAGAAAACTTCTATATTTTTTAGATTTTCATGTAAATTTAGAACTTAAATAATGCTTGTCCATTTAAGCTTAATAAAATAGGTTCAGCGAACACAAAACTAATGACTGATTGCCAAATGATCTCATATATAAAGATAATATACCATTATATTTTTTCATGTTACATTTAGTATTTTTATAGTAAATTCAAATAAATAAAATGAAAAAATAAAATTCGTTTCACTAAATTAAAGCTTATGATAGGAAGCTTGTATTTGTTGACTTAGCTTATCGGAAGTTTCTAAAGAATTTAAACTGATATTTTTATTCATGATTTTATTTTTTTTATTTATTTATTGTTACTTTCTACAGAGCACAAAGCTTTTAATCTTAAGAAGAATTTTCTTCCACAGATTTATAACACTTGGCTTGTGTAAGGAGATATTTAATTTCCTCTTATTAGGAATTTTTATAAAAAATCTAACACTCTAACACAATTTATGCATAATTTGGATATGCTTAGTTACGTTTGGGGATATTTTTAAGTTCGTTGCAACTTTCAGTTCAAGAATCCAATATGTAACTCTCATTCATCCCTATTTTTAATCTATGTAATTATTAACTGTCTGAATTTTGATATAATATTAATAAATTAGAAAAATTAACAGAAAAATATTTTTAAAAACAAGCATTAACAAAAAACAATTTTAATAGCACTGGACTTGAATATGTAAATTCTAAATGCAAGTAATAATCACTGAATACTTATACGAAATTATTTGGTTGCATAATTTCCAATACAAAAATAACAACAAAAAAATTATAGCATTGCAAAAATTAACAAAATATGACACACACAGACTTAAAAAGTATAAATATGATTTAAAAAATCATGGCTGATGAAATTGCTCAGCAGAATATTACTATAACTTTCAATATGTGAGTGTCACATATTTAATTTCAATTTGAACAGCAATATTATGTAGTAAATCTGCAAATATATTGGTACTTGACAAAAAAAAAAAAAAAAAAAAAAAAAACTAATATCTTTGCCAAACTTGTAAACTACTCAATACTGTTGAATTTTTATGAGCAAATAACTTCCTATTGTGAACTTTTTATTATGCAACATTTAAAATGTGTGTGCTCTGTCATGTGTTTTGACCTACGTAAGTGGTAAGCAATATTAGCATGCTTTTTCTAAATCTTATATAGGCAACTTGTTCAACAGTATAAAGAATTTGTGGAATTTTACAGCAGATATTTGTTTTCTTGTAATTTCTTGTATAGTTATGGATTTTTGGGACTCGCTTAATAATACTTATTTGGATCTATTTTCAAGCTCTTCTTTATTATTAATTAAAGCACCATTAACAGAAGCAATTACGTTTCTTTCTAGCGAATAAATTCAACATTCTAAATGATATGAAATGATACAAAATAAAGTTACTGTATTGAAAATATACTGTAAAAGCAGACAGTGACATACTTTCGTCCAAATAAACACATGAACATTTCAGGCCACGAAAAGGAATTTATGGGAGAAAATTCGTGAAGAAGTGCTAAGATAATTATAATTTGAATTTTTACAGTGTGAGCATCATAGGGAAATTATCCAGGGTCGTGCCTTACTATTATATAGAAAGGTGGCAGCATAAATAGCGAAATCAAAATACAGTTTGAACCATACAATAATTAAAAATCTTTACGCAACGCTTTAGTATACTGGTTTGTGTTATTCCAATAGTGATGTAGTGAACCAGGTAAGATTTATTGCACGCCTAAGCACTTTGGTCAACTTTGTTTTCGGTTTCTGGTACAAGTAAATCCTTGACGAGCCAACGCCAGAGCAGATGACGTTTTTCTGACAGCGCAAAGCCACTGTTTTCGTTTGTAATATACATCGCGGCTGGTAGCTCCTAAAAGTCGAGGCGGAAGTTATTACAAAACATACTTGCACATGTTACGTTTTGATAATACTGCTTTGAACCTACATTATTGACAATATTGTTTTTAATGTTAGTTTCACTCGATAAGTGGCAAGTGGTTTGCTGTGTTTAAATCAAAAAATCAGATGTGTAATATTTCAGTATCAGTATAATGCGTCGTATCAGTATATATTGTATTTTACAACAATTGTAATTGCTTATTGTCATTGAAATTATGATTATGTTATGACAATTGCATTTTTGCGAAAAGCTGTGAATTTCTGTTTAGTATTTTTAGTAGAGTATATCCTAAAAATGAAAAAATTGTCTGAAAATCAATATACAAAATAATGCTTAAAAGAAGAGGAAAAAGAAAGAAATCTAAGCTATGAAGGAGTTCTTGGTAAAAAAGTCTTCTTTAGACTAGCCATCCACATCCACATCAAAAGCCAGTGCTTTGGATTTGGCAGATATTACCTGTCACTTCCCCAATCACTTCTAAAGACTGCCCCAGTCACTTCTAGAAAAATTTGTTGAAATGAGCCAAAAAATAACACCATCAGAAGTTAATCAAGAGCCGGGTAGCGGTACCGGGGACGGCCAGCTGATAGTAAACGAAATTCCTTCTGATCTAGAATTCTGGATTGTTTTATGCATGTCATCTGAAACTCATCAAATGGTACTTAAGAGTGGCCCGCATTAAAGAATTCGAGCTCCCTATTTATAAAAAAAAGACCTAGATTTTCGCCCTCGAATTTTTTGACAGTGTCAAGCAATGGTGAAGTCCTTGAAAGAAGTTACTCTATTACAAATGATGCTGTTTGATGCTTTTGTTGTATAATATTTGATAACTTGTCTGCCGATTGGCGCGAAAAAGGTATTCTGGCTAAGGAAATCTTATGAGATCCCTTATAAGGTATTTCTTCCGCCATCTTAGCATGCCTTCGTGGTGTAGTGGTCAGCACGCTCGACGTGTATTCGAGAGGTCCGTCGTTCGAGTCGCGGTGAGGGCATTGCTCCGTTTTCATCTCTTCAAAAAAATCCTAATGTCTCTAACCCTCACAATGCACAAAATGTCTGTAATTCTCATAAATGGAAAACATGGAAAGAGCTGGACATTCGATTAAAGCAGAAAAAACTATTTAAGCTAAATATCAACAAATTATGATATTGAAATTCAACATTACAGAGCAATTCTAAAAGAATTATCTTAATAATTAGACTATTGGTCCTCACAGTGCTTAGCGTTTCGTGGAGCAAGTAAATATTTGTTTCAGCCTAATAACTGGAATACTGCCTTCTGAGTTTGATCCAGTTATGGAAGAACAAATTATGAGAGTTCAAAGAGAGTCTCTCTGTCACTAAGCTAAGCAATAATATACAAGATGAATTGATAAATTTGATGGGAAATGTAATTTTAAGCAAAACTGTTGAAATAACAAATATAGTTAACTATTTTTTAATAATAGCCGATTGTATCCCAGACATAAGTCTCATAAAACAGCTCTCATTAACAATAAGAGATGTCGCTTTTAATTCCATTGAAAATAATTATGTACTTGAAAAGTTCTTCACTGCTTTTCTAAGTAAGTGATTCAACCGGAAAATGTTTGAAGGAATTTATTCTGACATATTTGAAAAAGTTAGGTTTTTAAGTTAAAGTGGTTTAAATAACAAGGCTATGATAACGGTGATATTATGACAAGCGAAAGAGAGGGTATACAAAATAGAATACTTCAAAAATATCTAGAGGCAATTTTTGTGTCTTGAGCATACCATTATTCAAAACTAGATATGAACTAGGCAGCGTCTTCAATTCTTTTCGTGTTTCACAAGAAATTTACACTTTTTTTCTGGCTCTACAAAGCATTGGGAAGTGATGAAAAAATATATTTCACAATTAACTCTAAAATTATTGACTTTTACAAGGTGGTCATGCAGAACAGATGCATTAAAACCTCTACAATTTCAAATCTTTGAAATATATGCCGAATAGATTATTTATATTGCTTTATTGCAAATAACAGAAGACGTTAACAGAGATACAGAAATTAAAGTTAAGTCAGCACGAACAATTCGACGTCATTAACAGTACAATGGTTTGTACTCTAGGCGTCCATTGCTTCTCTTACCTTTAAACCACAGGCTTTTACGTTTGCATTGGTGCACTGAACAGCAGAGAAGAACATCCGAATGGCATGGACATTTTGTCTTCGGACGAATCCCACTTCTGTCAGCAGTACCACGATGGTCGGATTAGAGTTTGAAGACACCTTGAAGAGAGGCTGTTCGACTGCTGTGCTATGCGTCGTCATACTGAGGCTCCACCCGGTGTTATGGTGTAGTACTGGATTCCACACCCACATCTCCGTAGTATGCATTATCGGTACACTTACCAGCCGACGTTACATTTCTGAGGTTCTGCAGCCTGTTCACCTTTCCTAGCTTTAAGCTTGCCTGCGACCACATTTCAACAGGGCAATGCGCAACCACATGTTCCGCGTAATGTTCAGGCTTTTTTCTTTGGCCATCATATTGCATTGTTAACCTGACCTGCCCGTTCTCGAAATCTATCACCCATCGAACATGTCTATTCAATGACTGGAGAAAGCCTAGCTCGGCATGTTGCACCAAATAAATGGACTTTGGCTACATGTGGAGGGCGCATGGACTGCCATTCCCCAACAACACATCCAAAGCTTCTTTCACTCAACGCCGCGGCGTATTATTATTATTATTTACATGTTCCTCCCTGAGGTACTAGAAGGAAGGGAGGAATGCCTTCGTGGAGGACTTTCTAAGGGAAACTAGCTCGTATTAACACGTTATACATGAGGAAAATAATGAAAACGCCCATGCAGCCAGCCCGTTCGAGGGCGCCGCGGCGTATAGCAGCTGTTTAGATTTAAGCTATAAACTTGAAGGCAATTACTGTGGTTCTTGTCTTCCTTACCATAAAAGAAAGCTGTATTTCAAATCAGTTAATATTGATACTACGTGTAATTTCTGAAGTAAATTAGGCTTTGAAATTCTTCTGCGTGTTGCATTCTGGATGGCCAGCAGTGTAGTTGCTTGACGAAGGAGGATTTTAAAGTGTTGAATCAGCAATATTTCAACGATCAATGAAGACTTCTCTGCATTTAACAAGTACCCTTACCTTATCCGTACAATTACATATGAGACACACATCTGGAAAATTAAAATGTTGTATTGGGACTGCATTTTTACTATTACCAACTTATATTATTCTATCATAATAATTTCATAACATGCAGTGGCTATTAAAGGTATATATTGTGACTATTAAAGATATTTTTAAAATATATGTCATGCATTTATTAAAAAAGGGTAAAATTCCACAGAAAAAGAAAAGCAAATGTTTACATTTCAATGCATATATTGTAATAACATTTAAATATATTAAATAGGTATAAATCTGATTTTGAAGAAAAGTGTTTTTTTTTTTTTTTTTTTTTTACTATTTTGCACTTTCTTAATCTGACTCATTTTTTACATTTAGAGAAATGAATTATAAGGACCATTTTAAAATCATTTTACATATCACTCAGTTTAGTTTTTCTTTTGTCTTCTGTTTCATCTGTACCAATGATTAGTAAGATAAATTGCACCTCATAAATTATATGGGCATTCTTTTCTAAGAATAAAGTTCTAATTTAATTTAATTGATAATTAGTTTCCTATTCTTAAAAAATCATTAGGCTTTAATTAAAGAGAGTGCATTAGCTTTCGAATAACTAATTAAAAAATTACTTTAGAGTTTCATTTCGAAACGATTGTCATTGAGTTTAATTTTTCCAGAAAATTTCCAGGAATTTCTCTACTGTTGAGAATATTCATAAATTTCGACCCATAATCATATAGTAAATGAGTGTGAATGCAAACGTATTAACTTGAAGAACTTAAATAAAAAGGGAAAATATACAAGTAGAGAACTCACCTGAAAGTCGAGAGGTTCATTCCACTTTCGATTTCTCATCAAAACAAGAATTTTTCTGTGGTGTACAACATTAATATAATTCTTTTATCTCTCATCCTTCGCGAGTAGTCCCGCCGTCCAGCATACTTCCCATCCATATTAGGATGAAGAAAACGTAAAGATAAGACACGCTTTTGAGAACCGATAAAATCTTTGAGGAGAAAGAGAATGGAGTAACTCATTAAGTACAAATCTTCCTTATTAAGTGAAAAGACACGGGTTCGTTTACCAGCGGACACAAGGGAAATTGCTTAGGAATGTAATTCAGTTACTTCAATAATGCATAGAAACTAGATTAATAGTAAACCTTGTATTAACTTTCAAATTATTGATGTCTAATTACCGAATGCAATATTCTACATTACAGAATTAGACATAAAATTCTTGATAACATGTTTTAATTTAAAATGCACTATATATCAACTTAATTTTGTTTTTAAAGACTGAGTCTTATATCAAGATGGAATCCGAATACTTTATTAAAAAAGTGAACATTTTTCTACTTCGTATTTTCGTTTTAAACGGTTATCACGAAGACAAAAAGTCAAAGGGTTCCCTACCAGATGAATTTTCAAGAAATGGTATTAAGAACTTTTACTTTAACTTTGCTCTACTTTGTCTTCCTTGAGAAAGCAGACAGATGGAATTTACGATAAGCTGTAAATCTATCGATAATTTATTTTCTTTTAGTTCTTCGATATTACTTCACAGCGATAAATATTTGGAAGTGTATTTTGAAGCCTATATGCCTTTGTAAGAAGCGTTACGTTTGACTACATATAGTAAAAACTGAAAAGGTCTAAATTAAAAAAGATTAATTAAGAAGTTAATATCAAAGGCTGTAATCTTCTCCCTCCCCAGATTTCTTGATTCTTAAAATTGATTGTACCTTTTCAATACCAAAGAAGCCATTAAAAAAACTGAAGATAAATTTTTATAACAAGAAATATTCACTCATTTGTGAATATCATATGTAAAATAAAATAACTTAAAACCAAATCCTATATAAGGTTTATTTCATGAACCAGTTATTTAATATCAATACTTTTTGTTCTTCCATCTAGCTTCACCAGAATACATATTAAGCTAAATTTAAATAATAAGCATAATCTGTATTTAGTAAATGTAAATTGGAAACGGTAAGTTAGCAATTTACTCTATTATTCTAAACATTCGAGGCATGCATCGCTATCAACTTTTCTTTTCGTGAATGCTAATGAGTGACTTGATTACATGTTTACAAATTTTAGATAACGAAAAGAGAATAAGTGTGGTGTCATAGCTTTGTAGTTGTTAATTTGATTACGTATTCTAAACCTGAATACGTATTTTAGTGCTAATTTGTATCCCCGCAAGTAGTTTTCTAATTTGAGTTTTAATTATAAAATCTGTAAATAGTAACAAATAAATTTTTAACTAAGTTTATCTCCGTATGTTCACGAAGTTCAGTGTTTATATTTAGTTTATATCAACGCTAATTCATCTTAAAATCTAATCGTTAAGATTTTGTTTTATATGCTTAGAAGAGTTTGTATACGTTACCGTTAAAGTGTGAAATCTGTTATTTTACAGAACAACTAGGTATTTCATGAAATAACTAGACAAGTCAGTTAAAGAATATAAAATTATTGAATTCTACGATTTAACTAGGTATTCTATAGAATAACCATTACTTGATCGTTAAAAAATACGGCACATGGAAATTCTTTGAACCGGTTCTAGCTGCTTTTAGTCAGTTTTGGACCTCTTTTAGCTATTTTACAATGATGTGTGTGTGTGTGTACGCTTCATCCGCTGCTTTTAGACGTAGAATTCAGACGGTATATTTATGTTAGCTTTTTACATTTTGGATCATCAATAAATATTTTTGCAACCTGTTTTCAAGCAATGACTTCTGCGGGAATGGGGGACCAACCTGTAAAAAAGAAAGATTTAATGCAAGAGGAGATTTGAATCTTTATTAAATAAGCGTGAGACAAAGGAAAACAGTGCTGCACTTACTCGTGAAAAATTATT